AATTTAATTTAAGTTAAAAAGGCTACAGCTGCGTAGCGCACAGAAGCCGTTGCCATGGTTACTATCCATAGAGCGCCTGTCATTCACTTGCGGAGCGCTGTCTCCCTTTCTGTTCACCTGAGAGAACCTGCCAAAGCCTCTCTACTACTTGTTTGGGTGGGTTATTTGCTGGCTGACCAACATCCCACCCCTCCTGTGATCATGGTTTGACTGTAGGCCTATGTGTATTCAGAGCCAGTGAGCAACGGACTTTCAAAATAATAATAAAAAAAACTCTGCGTTAACGCGCGATAAAAAAATTGTCGGCATTAATTAATAAATGCGTTAACGCGATAATAACGCGTTAACTTGCCCAGCACTAATTTTAATGCATTCACCCCATTTGCATATTTGTTATTTTATTACTTGTTCTCTCCATTTGCATTTTTTCTCTACATTCACTACATTAATTTTTTTATTATTTATTACTCTTTCATTTTATTTGCATATATTTTTTTTACTTGCTCGTTCTCATTTGCATATTTTATTACTTAAGCATTCTATTTGCATATTTTATTACAATAATTTGCATCTTTTATTACTCAAGCAACCATTTGCATATTTCTATTTGATCTTATTTTATGTGCTGCATTTGCATATTTTATATAATTTAATTTCTTATCATTTGCACATTTGTTATTTTATTACTTTTAGTAATTTTGTCTATTTAATTATATTTTATTCACTCCATTTGCATATTTTTATTTTATTTTTTTAACTTAAAATTTAAAGTTTTCTTTTTGTTACTTGTTCAGTTGATTGGCATGATTTGGCATGACTACTTTTGCTTTTTTTATTATATTACTTGTTAATTCTATGTGCATATTATTATTTTTTATTTTTTGTTCTTGCATTTGCATATGTTTTATTTATTTATGAGCTTTTTTATTGTATATTACCCATTGTTTGCTAAACAGTTGTGTTATTGGCGATTCAGTGAAACACAGTGAACTGATGCTGATGAAGAACGAGGTCTAGAATAATGAACATGAGCTTGTGTCTGCATCAGTCTCAGACTCATTCCCTCACAGCTCGCCCCGTCTGACCTCTGACCTCTGACCCCAACCACCCGCTCTACACAGCCTGACTATATGTCTTACAGAGATCAACTTAATCTAATTTAAGGTAACAGAGATTGGTTTGGCTTTATAGCGGTTCTTGAATAATGTTATTTCCAGCTAAAGTTAGTTTTGATTGATTCACCTCCGTCGAAATGATCATTTGTTATTACATTAGGGGCCGCTAAGACGACTCTGTTCTCTCTAAACAGACTTTAAACTGAACCTGTGATTAACGCTGGTGGCGTTCACATGCGCATTAAGAGTTGAGTCTATAGTTATGTGCGTTTGAATATGTGTGCGCAGGTTTGTAATTCCCTACAAACCATGCCTAAACAAAATACTTGTCTTGCCTATACATTTTTATAGGGGTTGATACGCGAATTGAAATTTCCACAACGCTTTATCTGTAGAGTGGAATAGGGATCCTCCATAGGGAGAGACATTAGCAGCCATCTCTATTTGTATGTGTACTTATTTTTAGTGGTTTAGTTATGCTATGTTGGGTTCTGTGTTATGTCACGTGGCTTTATGGAGATATTTGTGAAATTATTACTGTAGTGTCTAATAGTACTGTAATACTGTAGTATCCATCCGTCCATCCGTCCGACCCCAGAATGCACCTAAACTGGTCAAACACTTTCAGCCATCATATGATTAAAAGTATATTTTAATAACTCAAAGAATATAGAAATTATTATGTGACCACCATGCATATCCTTGATTAGTCATTTTTATAGGAATAATGTAAGCACTCAAAAGGATATATAGATGTGTATTGAAGAGACGAGGGTTTCTGACCCCAACGCTTCAATACTCGATTTGCATATTTTGTATTTTACTTAGTCAGCCTATTTGCATTTATTTAATTGGTCATGCGATTTGAATATTTCATTTTACTCAATTACTTCATATTTTTGCTTTCTATTTTAGTCACCCCATTTGCATATTAGTTTGTTTATTTACTTTCACTCATTTTAATTTTTTATAGCACTTTATTACTTGTCCACTCATATTTTGTTTACATTTTAATTACTACTTCACTCCGTTGTGAGTGAAATAGTAGTAGTAGACAAGAAGCAAATAAATTAAATTATATAAAAATATGCAAATGCAGTAAATAGAATAAGATCAAATAAAATGCTTATATAATAAAATATGCAAATTATTTGCTTAATAAAATTTGCTAATTACATACATATTTTTTGTTATGTTTTTTATTCACCCTATTCTAAGTTTTTTTTAAATTTTATTATATTTTATTACATTCATTTCATATTTTTTATTGCGTTTTATTTCTTGTTCTCTCATTTGAATATTATATTTTATTTGCCCCATTATTCTGCACTGTTGTATTCAGCTGGAACCCTGAAAGCTACTAGCAAGGAAACCCGATGTTAGATATGCATATTCATAACAGCATTTTGAATAAAAGTTGAATGTAGAAGATGTGATTCATCCTCATTCTCTCTGCGTCTCTCACACACTCACACACACACACACACACAGCGGCACATTCTCACATTAAAACACTCGCTCAGCAGCTCTCGCCAGCCGTAGATCCTCCGCATGTGAGAATGAAGAGAAATGAAGTGTCAGCTGAAAGAAAGATACATTATTATTATTATTGAAACACACACACACACACACACACACACACACACACACACACACACACACTCGGTTTACTAGCATGCAGTTTCATGGAGCAAAACAAAGTAGTAGACGGTCAAATGCCTTTTTTAACATGCAAATGTTTGCTTGGTTTTGTCTAAAGCAGCGTTAATTTTGACGGCAAATTTGATGTTAGTTTTATTCATAGTCTTTTGACTTAAATGCCATTTAGTGTGTCATATTTCAGTCTTCTGAATTGTTTTAGTCGACTAAATATCACAAGATTTTAGTTTTAAAATCAAATGGCTTTAGTTTAATTGTAATACGTCAATTTAGCATTTTTCTAAAATGTCCAAGCTCAGTATATACACTTGGAGAACATATGTATTAGCTTGTTAATATCAATAATATTAAGGTTTGAAGATGCAATACAGACAGATGACATAACTTCTTTATTTATCTGAAAATGAAATAAAGCCACTTCTCATAAAGAAACTAGTACATGGTTGTATTTTTAATTAATGATATATGCATTCTTTATAACAACATTCTTCATTATTTTAAGCAGACATTTATTTGTATAAATGAAATCCTTATTAAAGCTGTTAAAGTTGTTCATTTCTTTTGATTAACATTAATGATGGACAGCATCAGGTTTATTAGGCTCCTGTCACTTTAAGAGCTAATGCACAGATCCAATACACTGATAGACATCTGATATCCTCCCAACCTTTTATGTTTACTTACCTAGAAATAATCAACTGTGTTTATGAGTAGTTTTTATCATTTGGTGTGGTATTTATGTACAGGTGAAACTCGAAAAATTCATATATTGTGCAAAAGTTCATTTATTTCAGTAATTCAACTTAAAGATATTACAAGCCTTTATTTGTTATAATTTTGATGATTATGGCTTACAGCTTATGAAAACCCCAAATTAAAAATTAGAATATTGTGAAAAGGTTTTCATATCTGTAAGCCATAATCATCACAATTATAACAAATAAAGGCTTGAAATATCTCACTTTTCATGTAATGAGTCTATATAATATATTAGTTTCACCTTTTAAGTTGACTTACTGAAATAAATTAACACATTTTTTGCACGATATTCAAATTTTTCGAGTTTCACCTGTAGTTATAGTCTATATTTAGTGAAAAAATGTTGACGGAAATTGACAAATTATTCATCAACAAAAGTAACACTTGTCTAAAGCTCACTTTAATCTGTTCTAGATCATTCAGTGACGTTAGGGTGCCTTAAGTCGGTCTGAAAGAAGGAAAAAATAATTTTGCTCCTATATAATCAATAAAGCAGTATACATATTTTTTTACATTTCCTGCACAGCATTTCCATCGTGTTTTCCCTGTCTGAGAACTAATTAATCAGCGTTATATTGCCAGTCGCTAATTGATTCAAGTGATGTATTGTTTTAGCTTCAATATCGCTATACGTGTATCCGCGATATGTGATGGGCAATGTCAAGTGTTAGTATGGTACAGTCACCACGGTTCGAACTTCCAACGCACGTAATTCTCGGATTTATTGCAAACTTTAACCATCCTAGAGCGAAAGTTTATCACTTGCACATGTTTAAGGTCCTGTCAATTTAAACATTCAAGCGATTTTAAACCATTTGAGTGCAAGAAGACGTGAAAGAGAAGCCGATTCGGACGCACAGAAGAGCACTGCCGCGTCTATTTGTGATTGAATGAAAAAATACACGCAAATGTATGTCAAAATGCCTGTCTCTGTGAGTATCGTCATAAATACAGTCACTAATGGCTTATGTGAATGAAAATTATTGAGAAAGAAAATGTATGTGTATTATTGTATTAGATCTGTGCATTCGGTCTTAAAGTGACAGTAGCCTAATATTCCTGCTTCTGTGTCATTAATGTCAATCAAACAACAAAATACAAAGAGAAGATCACTTTTGTAGCTTTAACAAAGATTAATTATATTTAATTTATACAGTGAAGACTATGCAGTGTTATTTTACATTTCATTATTCAATTTCTGTACCTGACTTACCTGAAAAACATAAAGCACTTTTTACAAGCATATTGTATTTACCTATGATCGTAATTTGTTTATAATTTTTTTAATGCAGATTCACTTCCTTACAAAATCACCTCAATCATTCTAGAATGATTAATTCTTTCCAAATAGAGCTATTCACATCATCTGGTGAAATTGTTTTCATATCAGTTGAAAAGCAAAATGTCAGTTTTTGCCAATATCATGCAGTGTGACTAAAACTAAAGCGGATGTTGTTTATGTTGCAGATACGCCAGTCTGTATTTCTGCTGTGCCATTGAGGACCAGGACAACGAGCTGATCACACTGGAGATCATCCACCGCTATGTCGAGCTGCTCGACAAATACTTCGGCAGCGTAAGTCAAAATATACGTGACTTGTTGCTTGTTGCTTCCCAAAAAATAAAAAGAAGAACCCAATTACAGTGATTATTCCTCCCCAACTCAGGTCTGCGAGCTGGACATCATCTTTAACTTCGAGAAGGCGTATTTCATCTTGGACGAGTTCCTGCTGGGAGGCGAAGCTCAGGAGACGTCGAAGAAGAACGTCCTGAAGGCCATCGAGCAGGCGGATCTCCTGCAGGAGGTGAGGGTCACGTACTGCCGCTCAGAGGGTCGCGTACTGGCGCTCAGAGGGTCGCGTACTGGCGCTCAGAGGGTCACGTACTGGCGCTCAGAGGGTCGCGTACTGGCGCTCAGAGGGTCGCGTACTGGCGCTCAGAGGGTCGCGTACTGGCGCTCAGAGGGTCGCGTACTGGCGCTCAGAGGGTCGCGTACTGGCGCTCAGAGGGTCGCGTACTGGCGCTCAGAGGGTCGCGTACTGGCGCTCAGAGGGTCGCGTACTGGCGCTCAGAGGGTCGCGTACTTCCGCTCAGAGGGTCTCGTACTGCCGCTCAGAGGGTCACGTACTGCCACTCAGAGGGTCGCGTACTGCCGCTCAGAGGGTCACGTACTGCCGCTCAGAGGGTCACGTACTGCCGCTCAGAGGGTCACGTACTGCCGCTCAGAGGGTCACGTACTGCCGCTCAGAGGGTCTCGTACTGCCGCTCAGAGGGTCACGTACTGCCACTCAGAGGGTCACGTACTGCCGCTCAGAGGGTCTCGTACTGCCGCTCAGAGGGTCTCGTACTGCCGCTCAGAGGGTCACGTACTGCCGCTCAGAGGGTCACGTACTGCCGCTCAGAGGGTCTCGTACTGCCGCTCAGAGGGTCTCGTACTGCCCCTCAGAGGGTCACGTACTGCCGCTCAGAGGGTCACGTACTGGCGCTCAGAGGGTCAAGTACTGCCGCTCAGAGGGTCACGTACTGCCGCTCAGAGGGTCTCGTACTGCCGCTCAGAGGGTCACGTACTTCCGCTCAGAGGGTCTCGTACTGCCGCTCAGAGGGTCTCGTACTGCCGCTCAGAGGGTCACGTACTGCCGCTCAGAGGGTCACGTACTTCCGCTCAGAGGGCCGCGTACTGCCGCTCAAAGGGTCACGTACTGCCGCTCAGAGGGTCACGTACTTCCGCTCAGAGGGTCACGTACTTCCGCTCAGAGGGTCACGTACTTCCGCTCAGAGGGTCACGTACTTCCGCTCAGAGGGTCACGTACTGCCGCTCAGAGGGTCGCGTACTGCCGCTCAGAGGGTCGCGTACTGCCGCTCAGAGGGTCACGTACTGGCGCTCAGAGGGTCACGTACTGGCGCTCAGAGGGTCTCGTACTGCCGCTCAGAGGGTCACGTACTGCCGCTCAGAGGGTCTCGTACTGCCGCTCAGAGGGTCACGTACTTCCGCTCAGAGGGTCTCGTACTGCCGCTCAGAGGGTCTCGTACTGCCGCTCAGAGGGTCACGTACTTCCGCTCAGAGGGTCACGTACTTCCGCTCAGAGGGTCACGTACTGCCGCTCAGAGGGTCGCGTACTGCCGCTCAGAGGGTCACGTACTGCTGCTCAGAGGGTCACGTACTGGCGCTCAGAGGGTCACGTACTGCCGCTCAGAGGGTCTCGTACTGCCGCCCAGAGGGTCACGTACTGCCGCTCAGAGGGTCGCGTACTGCCGCTCAGAGGGTCGCGTACTGCCGCTCAGAGGGTCGCGTACTGCCGCTCAGAGGGTCACGTACTGCCGCTCAGAGGGTCTCGTACTGCCGCTCAGAGGGTCACGTACTGCCGCTCAGAGGGTCACGTACTGCCGCTCAGAGGGTCACGTACTGCCGCTCAGAGGGTCGCGTACTGCCCCACAGAGGGTCACGTACTGCCGCTCAGAGGGTCACGTACTTCCGCTCAGAGGGTCACGTACTGCCGCTCAGAGGGTCACGTACTTCCGCTCAGAGGGTCACGTACTGCCGCTCAGAGGGTCACGTACTTCCGCTCAGAGGGTCACGTACTTCCGCTCAGAGGGTCACGTACTGCCGCTCAGAGGGTCGCGTACTGCCGCTCAGAGGGTCGCGTACTGCCGATCACCGCTCAGAGGGTCACGTACTGCCGCTCAGAGGGTCGCGTACTGCCGCTCAGAGGGTCACGTACTTCCGCTCAGAGGGTCACGTACTGCCGCTCAGAGGGTCACGTACTGCCGCTCAGAGGGTCGCGTACTGCCGATCACCGCTCAGAGGGTCACGTACTGCCGCTCAGAGGGTCACGTACTGCCGATCACCGCTCAGAGGGTCACGTACTGCCGCTCAGAGGGTCACGTACTGCCGATCACCGCTCAGAGGGTCACGTACTGCCGCTCAGAGGGTCACGTACTGCCGCTCGGAGGGTCGCGTACTTCCGCTCAGAGGGTCCCGTACTTCCGCTCAGAGGGTCCCGTACTTCCGCTCAGAGGGTCACGTACTTCCGCTCAGAGGGTCACGTACTTCCGCTCAGAGGGTCACGTACTGCCGCTCAGAGGGTCTCGTACTTCCGCTCAGAGGGTCACGTACTGCCGCTCAGAGGGTCGCGTACTTCCGCTCAGAGGGTCACGTACTTCCGCTCAGAGGGTCACGTACTGCCGCTCAGAGGGTCACGTACTTCCGCTCAGAGGGTCACGTACTTCCGCTCAGAGGGTCACGTACTTCCGCTCAGAGGGTCACGTATTGCCGCTCAGAGGGTCACGTACTGCCGCTCAGAGGGTCACGTACTGCCGCTCAGAGGGTCACGTACTGCCGCTCAGAGGGTCACGTACTGCCGCTCAGAGGGTCACGTACTGCCGCTCAGAGGGTCTCGTACTGCCGCTCAGAGGGTCACGTACTTCCGCTCAGAGGGTCACGTACTGCCGCTCAGAGGGTCTCGTACTGCCGCTCAGAGGGTCGCGTACTGCCGCTCAGAGGGTCACGTACTTCCGCTCAGAGGGTCACGTACTGCCGCTCAGAGGGTCGCGTACTGCCGCTCAGAGGGTCGCGTACTGCCGATCACCGCTCAGAGGGTCGCGTACTGCCGCTCAGAGGGTCGCGTACTGCCGATCACCGCTCAGAGGGTCGCGTACTGCCGCTCAGAGGGTCACGTACTGCCGCTCAGAGGGTCACGTACTGCCGCTCAGAGGGTCGCGTACTGCCGCTCTGAGGGTCGCGTACTGCCGATCACCGCTCAGAGGGTCGCGTACTGCCGCTCAGAGGGTCGCGTACTGCCGATCAGAGGGTCGCGTACTGCCGCTCAGAGGGTCACGTACTTCCGCTCAGAGGGTCACGTACTGCCGATCACCGCTCAGAGGGTCTCGTACTGCCGCTCAGAGGGTCTCGTACTGCCGCTCAGAGGGTCACGTACTTCCGCTCAGAGGGTCACGTACTGCCGCTCAGAGGGTCACGTACTGCCGCTCAGAGGGTCACGTACTGCCGCTCAGAGGGTCTCGTACTTCCGCTCAGAGGGTCACGTACTTCCGCTCAGAGGGTCACGTACTGCCGCTCAGAAGGCCACGTACTGCCGCTCAGAGCGTCAAGGACAGGTTGCTGAGCGGGTTAGTTAGAAATAATTGGTCTGTTGAGATGTTTATATCTAGCTACCATCAGGGTTTGAACTGAACACCCGCCAATCTGCTAAATGCGGGTAAAAGTCAAATCACTGGCCAATTTGGTGTGTTACTTATTATATTTACTCACTTTGCTGGGGAAGTTCATGTAAACCAAATCTGCGCAGAATTAGCACAAATACTCAACTCGTGAATAGGGCTGTGACGGTTATTATATAACGTGAGACCGACGGTTATAGTTGAACACCGTCATTAGAACTCTATAATCGCCAAAACCGTGTTATTAAAATATCTTGCAGATAAGGTAATACTAATATCAGTGTTGGGGAGTAACGGAATACATGTACCGGCGTTACGTATTCAGAATACAAATTATGAGTAACAGTAGTCTCCACAGAACATAATTTCGTGTTCGCATTTATGAGGAAAAAAACAATGTTACAGATGTGACCGCTCTGAAAGCGCCACTAAAAGACGTGACATTTAATCACGTCTCACAGAGTAAAACGTTCACAGAGACATCAAACAAAAAGCATAAAGCCTTTCTTTAAAGTGAATTTCGTTTTGTATTAATTGTATCTTAATTTTAATCAATGTTTCATCAACCAATTGCCTGGTTTTAATAAATAAGAAGTAAATATAGCAGATAGATAATCACGGAACGGAGGCGCCGGCGCGTGAACTGGAGCTCGTCTCATAAATGAACCGAAACTCAGCGTATAAGGTAGCCTACTGCCTCACAGACATGTCTACTTTTAAACAGAACAATTCAAACCGAAAGAAAAAGACGATAGACTGCTCTCTGCTTATGTAATCCGTATGAAATGTGCATTTCTCTCTGGCGCGTTCACTACAGCGAAGATTGCGAGTCAGCATCGTCAACTTCATCTTTGCAGCCGACACTGACAAAGAAAGGCCTGTTTTTTTGTTAAGGATTTGTTTACTGTGTGATTCATTTAATGGAAAGCACATTCACTGCTAGTTGTCTTGCTGTTAATTTAAAATAAACGTAAAGCAAGTAGCTAATCAGTGTCTGCTTGTTTATTCAAACTAAGTTGTCCTATAACAGACGAACGTCGCAACGCCCCCCCGGACGACGGCGGTTATGTTACGAACCGTCACATTTGACTCACGTCATAACCGTCATCACCAATTCTGAAACCGGCACACCCCTACTTGTGACTCATCATGATATATTAGATGCAGCATATTCATTTGCAATGATACAATAGCGAAGATTATAAAGCATTTGGTTAACAGAAAAGTCTTTTTTTTTTTTTTTTTTACATCCTACTTTTTTAAAAATGTTTTTTTGTACTGTATTGATCTGTCCACCTAAAATACATTTTACAATACAAGGATGAGGAGATGACAGGATTTTGTTTGAATAAGAAATTAATATATGAAATCCAATTTTTATAATATATATATATATATAAGCTGTGACATAGTTAATCTGGTTTATTTCTTCTTTTTTTCTTTTTCTTTTTTTGGCTAGTAGAGGTTCTGAATGGCCGGTAACTTAAAGGGCATATTGCAGGTTAGAGGACCCAACGAGTCAATGTATAGAAAAATAATGTAGGAACTAGATTTTCTTTAAAATATTCTTATAAATACGCTACATAAGCTTCTGGAGTCGTTTTTGTGAGAAAATTTTACTTCCGCGTCTGAAAATGGGTGTGGTGGGCGTGACGTAACGGGCGGGAGAGCGGTCGATTCAAACAACAGGAAAACAATGGATCGCAATGACATTTCGGACGCTGAGGAAATACTTACTTACAATTATGGACTACAGCCATACAATTATGAGCCTGCTATGCTGCCAAGAGAGTAGGGACAGGCCAGGATTAATGTCAGACAGAACGGTCAGAGACACATTGAGTTGTGGTGTGAGAACCAGTGGAGAACAGGACAGGTGTCTTGGTGAGAGACGTGCTTATAGATACACGTTCGCTAACGATGTACACTGTGCTCACAATATTGTACAGATTATTACCATCGTATATCAGGCCAGCAGACATTAGTATGTTTAGGGTAGATGTATACTATTAAATGTATAAAAACTATACTTGAGTATATTTCTATTGTAAGTTACTAAAAACATACTCAAGTACATTTTTAAAACATATTTTTCATCTGGGTTATAACATAAACAGAAAATTAAAGATTTGAATATTTAATCAACCTAGTAATTTTGTTTTTCAATTACAAGTTGCCTTAGGGCATGACTAACGTTACCTATATCACACTATTTGATGCCATTGGTACAGTATACGACGATCAATATTCTTGCTTCGGCATCCCATGTTAAACTCCATCATATCGCCGGGATGATAATCCTCCGATCTGAAGTGAAAGCTACACACGACCGCGTTTCTCGAAGCCGATGCGGAGGAGAAATCCCGTCTCTTCACCTGCACAAACCGCACCAGGCACGAAAGATATACACCAGCACCGTTTTTCTTGTTATGGAAACCTGTGGACTCGATGTCCTGACAGGCCGGAGTTTTTGCAACCTCCACAAACACAATAATTTACCATGACGATGATAGATTGAATTACAAAAACTACCGAAAACACACTGACTCACGGCCGCTCTCACTAAATGCCAGCCTGCTCTGCACTGAGGCGAGGCTGAGGCTCCCTAGCGTGACGTAAAATGACGCGCTGTTGAAAAAAAAGCCGTTTTTACGAGCAGTCCAAGAAACGCTCACTTTATCTACTAAATTAGTGCCCTTATGTCGTTTTAAAACATTTTAAATCCTGCATTACCTTTTCATATGGTATTTTCATACAAGGTTATATATTAATTTAGATTTTTTTTTTACCTACAATATGCTCTTTAAGGCCCTTTCACACACCTTGTTAATTGTGAACCCCCCCCGGACCATAGTCGAAATTTGGTCAGGCGATAAGAGGTAGTCTCGGTCCGGATCAAACTGAACAAAGGTTTGGTTCGTTTCTAGTGTGAAAGCATTTCTGTATGGTTCGGACTTCGGACTTTTAGACCATTTACAAGAAGTTCCGGTGGTTCCCGGAGGATTGCTCGAGTCTTCTCCTCTTTTCCTGCCGGCGATGAATAAATGTTCACACAACGAGGACGTTCATTTGGCGAAGTTGAACTAGTCTTGAGTATAGCTGCCGCTGGCAGTAATGCCGTAATAATGACAGTATAGTGGCAACGATATGCATCAGTTCATTCATTCTTGCCAAAGTTACCCGCTGAATTGACGACACGCTGACGTCACACACACACGTCCGTTTACAAACCAATCAATGTCAAAATGCAGCCCACATAGAGGATGACGACAGGACGCACGTATGTCACGTAGAGTTCTTTAGTGCGCTCGCATAACTGCAATGTGAAACCAAACCAAAACTTACCGAATGTATCAATTATATCAAAACTAGGGCTGTCAAACGATTAATCACGATTAATCGCATCCAAAATAAAAGTTTGTGTTTACATAATATATGTGTGTGTACTGTGTATAATTATTTTTAATACATAAATACCCACACATGCATGTGTATTTAAGAAATATTTGCATGCATATACTGTATATAGACTGAATGTAGCCTATATATAATGTATATTTTATATAAATATAAACATTTTATATATAAATAACATATTTTTCTTAAATATATACATGTGTGCATTTATATACAAAATAATTATACACAGTACACACACATATAATATGTAAACACAAACTTTTATTTTGGATGCGATTAATCGTTTGACAGCCCTAATCAAAACATGAACTTTGGTGCGGATTTTCGGGTGTGAAAACGCCTTTAAAAATTTAGTAGCCAAAATTGGCCGGTGAGTGAAAGTTAATTTCATAAGATCCCACCAGATCTGGTTTAATGGGTCTCTTCCCGCTTGAGTACTGAGGTTTATTACCGCCACAGCAAAGCAACGGGATCGTTTGCGTATTTCATAGTGTTTTTGACCTTCGCACCGCCGTTCTGCTTCTCTCTCTCGCTCTGACTTTTGAATTGAAAGGTAGAAATCCCTCGGGAGCTACAGGTTCCCTGTGACTGCTCTCGTGTGTGTGTGTATTACCCAGCTTCCCCGGCGCTTGCAGAACAAAACACTCCTTTGTTCGTTACAGTGTAGAGTAACTGAGCTTTCACACACGATCTCTTCATCTTCATGGAGTCTCGCTGTAGCGTACAGATGCACAGATCATGTCCTGATGCTGGGCTTTCAGATTAAAGCTGAAGTGTATCTGGTTTGATATTGAAATGCTTTCTCATATCCATTTTTTATTAATATGCAAGTCTAATCTGAAGAACCCTAGCAACAGCATAGGAAACACCCAGAGCATACATTTAAACTTGCTTCCCGAGTTTGACGTCTCTCTTCTCTCTCTTGCTTTCTGTATTCTTCCTCCTTTTGCCCGACCCAACTGTTTTGATTTACAGAATCTAGATTTTCAGATCCGTCTGCTTCCAGGTATGATTTATGGATCATTGATTAGCAACTGTAGTCCTCAGTCTCCCTGTAGCTGTAGTTATTAATCTGATCCCAGCGGGACTGTATTCTACATGCCATGAGCTTCTGGATACTGGAAGTTGATGACATGCTGAGTTTTTCCTGAATAAAAATCTTAGAGAAACTAGTTACTATAGTTTAATTGAGTGAATCTCACTTTAAAAAAAAAAAAAAGGGTCACATTTCACCCCAAAAGAATCTAAAGAATTTTTTTTTTTTTTTTTTTACTTAAAATATATTTAATGTCAACAGCATTTTGACAATACATTTCCAATTCTTCCCCCCCCCCCCCCCCCCCCACTAAATTAACAGATATCAGCATTTTTCCACATCACACCCCAAAATCAAAAGAAAAAAAATGAAAACTTTTCATATTTTTTTCATTACTGATTTTAAGTATACATTAAGCCTTTTTTGCATTGAACGTTACGGTTTTTTTTTACAATTATTATTAGTTTCCTCATTTTCTTTATTTAAAATATAGTGCTGTCAAATTTATTTGATCGCAATTAATCACATCTAACAAAATGTTGAGTGAACAATATATGTGTCTATATATACTATTATATTTATATATATATATATTATATGTGTGTGTCTGCATATATATATATATATATATATATATATATATATATTATATACACACACACTCACACACATACACACATACACGCGTATACTATGTGTGTGTGTATATATACATATATATATATATATATATATATATATTGTGTGTGTGTATATATATATATATATATATATATATATATATACACACACAGTACACACACATATTATGTAAACACAAACTTTTATGTTAGATGCGATTTAATCAATTTGACCGCACTAGTAAATTTCATATTTTTTTCATTACTTATTTTAAGTATATATTAAGCCTTTTTTGCATTGAACGTTACGTTTTTTTATTATTATTATTAGTTTCCTCATTTTCTTTATTTAAAATGTAATGCTGTCAAATTTATTTGATCGCGATTAATCACATCTAACAAAATTGAGTTAACAATATACAGTATGTGTGTATATAATTGTATTTATATATATATATTATGTGTGTCTGCATATATATATATATATATATATATATATATATATATATATATATATATATATATATATATATATATATATTAGGGGTGTAACGGTACACAAAAATCACGGTTCGGTACGTTTTCGATACAGCAAAAAGTAAGAAATGCCAGAGAATTTCCTATTTGTTAAAAGAAAAAATATTTTTTAAATAAGTGTGAGTTTTCCTACATCTTGAAACTTTCAGGTCTATAAATGGGTGTCATCTTTGAAGGATGAACAAATAATGTTTTGGTCATCATCACATTAAAAATAATATTTAAATATATGAAGAGTTCAGATGCAAAAGCCATTTGAAATTTTGTTCTAGAATGATAATTTTTATCAAGCTTGTATATTTAAGTTCAGTAATTTCACTTAAATGGCAATGAAGATTACCTATTAATTGTCATTTGAGTGAAATTACTGAACTTAAATATACAAGCTTCATAAAAAAGATCATTCTAGAAGAAAATTTCAAATGGCATTTAGAGGCTTTTGCATCTGAACTCTTCATATATTTATTTATATAATATTTGAGTTTTGAAGTGCTGGAAAAAGATGTGTGAAGAAGTTCTTGAAAGCATTTCACTATTCCAGCCAAACTGGTTACATTTAGTGTTACTATATTAAATCCATGGTGAATGTTGCTGGTCTGTGGACGTAAAGTATTACTAGTTCATTGACGGCACAATGTTTCTCCTGGTGTCCACGTCAGCGCTGTTTGATCTAATAGAGATCTACGGTTAATAACGGAGAAATGTGAATGCTTCTCACTAGATCTCGCAGCGATGTTATTACTTCAGTGGCGAATTCAAATGTTTTCTTCACTGGATCTCTTTGCGCTGTGTAGTTACAGTGTCGCTTGATCGAGATCGGCTCGCGCTGCACAGATGTTGCTGGTCCGAACTTATAAACGGTCCGTGAAGCACATAATGAGTAGCGCTGTTTCGTTCCGCTTTCATTACGTTTGCCATTTGATGTTGCGCAACGTTGTGGTGATCGCGCCAGCGCGAATTTTGTCGGCAGGAAAAATGGTCCAAGGAATCGTTCGGTTTGTATGCGTACCGAACCGGAAGCCTCGAACCGAAACGGTTCAATACGAATACATGTACCGTTACACCCCTAATATATATATATATATATACACACACACACATACACACACACACATACATAGATATTATTTGTGTGTGTATATATATATATATAATATATATATATATTGTGTGTCGTGTATGTGTGTGTATATATATATATATATATATATATATATATATATACATATACATATTATGTAAACACAAACTTTTATGTTAGATGCGATTTAATCAATTTGACCGCACTAGTAAAATGCTATTTTCTTTCTTTCTTTCGATTTTTGGGGTTGAATACATTCTTGCCAGGTTTTGTGAGATTGACCCAGTTAGTTAGTCTTAATAGTTAAGTCTCTTAGTTAAAGTCTTACCCAAGAATTTCTCCTCGTTATCTCCCAGTGAAAAGGGTTTATGAATGAATGAGTGTATGATTGATGTGATTGGATGATTTTTCCCACACTAAGGCTGATTTAGGCACTAGTTACAGACTAGATGAAATCGAAGTGTTCAATCACCATCGGTAACTCCGAGCAGAGCTGTGCTTTATCACCTCTGACTGCCATCCCGACAGACTGTATCCCGAGGGCCAAATTACAGACAGACAGAGGAGAAAAAAAGAGAACAAAGACTTGCTGTCCACGCTTTAGCAGCGAGACATGACCTAAATGTGCAGCTCACCGGCTGAGCACGAACACACTGCGGTGCCGACACGTCAACTAGCTTTGCATCTTTATCGATGTCATGGTTCACGTAACCACGCCAATATGAATAATAAACGAATATGCATAAGTAACATACAAAATAAAAGCATTATCAGCGAGAGCATGCGGTTTGAGCCTCTGGGCTGCCGTAGTCTCGCCTGGGGCTTGTCCTTTATCTGCTGATTCCAGGTCAGATCTGTGATGTTTTAATGAGTCTGGTTTGGTTTAATGAGTTTGAGCTGCTGCTCCGTTTCTGACTATTGTTCATACATTCAGCACAGTTTTATGAAAAATCATCTGTATGTTTGTATGGCCTGGATTTCCAAACATTAAACTAGTTAAATTGCCTAATTAATGGTGATTAACAACTATTTTATATCCGTGTTAAACGTTTTAACCCATGGATTTCTGTTAAATCCCTTTTTTTTTCTCTAAAATGTTATTATTTACAAATATGTGTAAATTAATAAGCTATTGCATCAAAAATATTACCTTACAGGCTTACACCAAAAGACTCATGATATGTGGCATGTTTATATCTATGGGGCTAGTTTAATCAGTCAGTTATTGGGCAGTTTTAAGATATGTTTGTGGTTAAAAGAGCATGAAAATCAAGAAATTCCCATGATACTATAAATTAGCCATAGATCGTGTTTTATTTCTTCACTCGATGTTCATTTCTGTGGCCAGTTGCATAAACGCCATCATGATGATCAGTTTAATTTAATGTAACTTGTATCATGTTGCCTGGATCGTGTCTCTGAACCTTCAGTCTGAGGCCGAACAGATCCTCATTCACAATCTTAATCCAATCCCAAGAGTCCCTGCCTTCTGTGAAGCGGATTGGGCGTGCTTTCGCAGAACGGGGCTGTTTGATTGGCTGGTGTTTCTGTCCGTAGAGCCAGACTGAAGACTGGGGAGGTTTGGCCAATGAGGAGATCTTATAGGGGCCGGAGCCCCGCCCACCCTGTCAGCCGATTGGTAAATGGTGTGATTTGCCTGAGCCGATTGCTGATTGGGCATGATGAAGCTCTCGCTCGCTCTGATTGGAGGAGACGTGGTGACGTGACAAAGGGGGGAGCATTTAAACTTAACTTAACTCTTGACCTTTTACCTGGTCAAAATGTGGTCACAAGATTTCTAGCAAAAGGATAATCAGTCTTAAGTTGGAGCAAAACAGCAACCAGAGAAATGCATTATGTAAGAATTAAGATTTAGTTTAAGCATGCAACCTTATTTAGTTTATTTATTATGATGTATGAAATAATTCAGAATGGATTATTAGCATACAAGTTATACAAACTCCATGCATTTATAAACTGCATCTTTTACTTCTAAAGAGAAGATTTGAAAGCGAATCCTAATCTGTGTATACTGTGTGTCGCAGGATCAGTCTTAAAGGGCCAGTCATCGTAACTCCTGTCATGTCTTCAGTTATCGGTTTGCATTTAATTACCATAATGGCATATTCAGCAAACGACTGAACACATTCTCTGAATGCATGCATGTAATATGAATGTGTTGCGTTTAAAGGCACACACCCCGTCTCCACGATCAGACGCTGTGAATGTGTGTGTCTCTGACGTGATGATGCCTGATGGGAACTAACTCGCACTGGATGACAACTAATGCTTTAACTGCGGTTTTATGCTCTCCGTAAATTGTGCCTGCATAAAGATGTGCATTACTCCCTCAGCTCAGAGTGTGTGTGTGTGTGGGGATGAGAGATGAGTGTGTCCCTTTTCATTTTGGGGCTTCGCCACTGCATAAATATCCCACTGCATCAGAATAAATCACATTATGCGGTGAGGGGTTTGTATCTCTCTCTCTCTCTCTCTCTCTCTCTCAGTCTCTCTCTCTCTCTCTCTCTCTCTCTCTCTCTCTCTCTCTCTCTCTCTCTCTCTCTCTCTCTCTCTCTCTCTCTCTCTCTCCCCCCCCCCATGTCTCTCTCTCTCTCTTGCGCTCTGCCTTTTGCTAATGTTCTTAAAATTATTGAATTTAGTTTATTAGATGAGCAAATTCTATCAAGATTACACACACAGGTACTAAAATGCTTAATTTTTAAAGTATATAGGCTACAGGGAGATCTACACGCATACAATTAATTCATTTTTGTAAATAAAACATTTATTTTTCAATTATACAATATTTCTTCTTTCAGGAATGTTCTGGAGTTACTTTTATCAGGTGGATAATTGACAAACCACTGGAAAAAACTATTAATATTTGAATATTATTACATTTAGGAAGGGAATATATATATATATATATATATATATATATATATATATATATATATATATATATATATATATATATATATATATATATATATGAATCTGTGTTTATTATATATATTTAGTAAATGCATTCTCTTATTTTATTCAGGTGAAATGTGTCCTGGATATTGTTAATTTTATCAGCTATTTTTTAATTTAGTCTTCGTCCCATGTCTTTTTTTATTTGTTTTTATCGTATTTAGTCCTGTTTATGTTTAGTTGACTTAATGTCTGGTCTTTTAAGTCTATTTTTCGTCACTGATATTTCATGTTGATATTGTCCCCGTTATCATTTAATGACCTTATTGTCGTCTCGTCTCAGTAATGGGAAAAAAATGCTTGCAGACGAACATTTTTCGTCATAGTTTTAGTTGAAAATGAACACTCATGTTTTTGTGGAAGGCTATGTTCTCCCAGACTGATTTCATATTCCTCAGTCAGTTTTAATAATCTGATTAACATTCTTTACATTCTCACTGGTATTATATGGATTTAATTTTGTGTGGCTTTTCTTTTTTCAAGTAACTTTATAATAAACTAATTTGAAGCTTTGGGGTTGAACTTCAAACGAACGCCGGCCTCTGTGTGCCGAGGTGTTTTTAATTAAAAGCACACGGTTCTCCGTCAGCTTAGCTAATGAAACCCGGGAAAGTCAATCCGGAACATTCCTGACTGAACAGCAGAGATCCCACACACACACTCGCACTCAAAGGCCCGCGGCTCCGACTTCATCAGAGGACAGAGACTGACAGCGAGACTGACGCTCATATCCGTGTTTGAGGAGAAACCTGAGGGAGACGCTGCACTGTCGGAATTTGCAAACCTTAAAATTATTAAGTAAATAAACAAATGCTTAATTGAAAAAATTAAGTTATGTGAACTTCACAATTCCACATTACCGTACTTAATTTTTTTTTATTAAAGGGATAGTTCACCCAAACATGTAAACTCTGTCAGTAATTACTCTCCCTCATGTTGTTCAACCCCGTAAGACTTTCGTTCATCTTCGGGACACAAATTAGGAGATATTTCTAATTAAATCGGAGAGCTGGATCACTCCTCCATAGGCTTCTATTGTAATTGAAACTTGCCGGCCCAAAAAGTTATGAAAGACATCGTTAAAATAGTCCGAGTGACTACAGTGGCTCAATCTTACGTTTATCAAGCGACGAGAATACTTTTTGTGCGCAAAAAACAAACAAAAATAACGACTTTATTCAACTCTTCTCGAGTGAGTTCATGTTGTGTAACAGCGCAGCGCTTCGTCAGAACGTAGGCTCACTATTGGCCAGCATCACACACATGACCAGCGTCGGCCAATAGTGAGCTCACTCGAGGCCCACACAAAAGAAGATGAATAGTTGAATAAAGTCGTTATTTTTGTTTGTTTGTTTCGCACAAAAAGTATTCTCGCCGCTTGATAAACTTAAGGTTGAGCCACTGTCGTCACTCGGACTATTTTAACGATGTCTTTAATAACTTTTCTGGGCCGGCAAGTTTCAATTACAATAGAAGCCTATGGAGGAGTGATCCAGCTCTCAGATTTAATCACAAATATCTTAATTTGTGTTTCGAAGATGAACGAAAGTCTTACGGGGTTGGAACAACATGAGGGTGAGTAAATACTGACAGGGTTTTTCATTTTTGGGTGAACTATCCCTTTAAGCATGAAGCATTACTTAATAATTTTAAGGCGACGGGTATCCTCAATTTTTTTTAAGTTAAGTCAACTGATCACTTTTGACAGTGTGTGAATCTGAAATCGCCCCCTATACCCTCAAATAGGGCGTTATTTGAGGGGACATCCATTTGTAGTGCTGTCCGAAACCATAGTGGACGTTGAGTACACTCATTCAATCCCACAATGCACTGCAATAACGGCTGTCCGAATTCACTCCCTCGTTTTCATTCACTCCTTCAAGTGAACAGTATTAGGGGACTTGCGTAGTGAATGAGGGATTAGGGGGCGATTTCGGATTCAGCCCATGTGTGTGTCTGCGGATCGATCGGATGCTGAGGTGGCTGTAAATCACGTGTGTGTGTGTGTGAATGTCCTGCAGGTGTTCTGAGTCCGAGCATGTCCTGCGAGTCCTCCGTTCTCTTCCAGAGTTAGCCGGCTCGAGGCGAGCGCTTCAGGTGTGGCTCTCCGTCAGTCGTAGAGTCGTGTCTCTGCTGTTAGTGTCGTCGTGGCTCTAGATGACCAGTTTAACACAGATGTCATGAGCTGTGTGTGTTTATATGTGTGTGTGATGCCGTCCAGTCATTGTGTTTCCGTGTTTCTCATTGTCCTCTTCCCTCACAGAGTTTATGGTTTATGTCACCGTTAATAGAAAACCAATGCTGTACTTTACAGCTGCAGTTCTCAACTGGTTTGGTTTCAGGAATAACTATTATATATTTAGATGTTATATTAATAATATTTAATACTTATTATAAATATATAAAGTTACATATGTATTTATATAGAAATATAATATTGTGTGTGTGTATATATTAGGGTTGTCAAACGATTAATCACGATTAATCGCATCCAAAATAAAAGTTTGTGTTTACATAATATACTTATTATTTTGTATATAAATGCACACATGTATGTTATACAAATGTTTATATTTATATAAAATATACATTATATATAGGCTACATTCAGTCTATATACAGTATATACATGCAAATATTTCTTAAATACACATGCATGTGTGGGTATTTATGTATTAAAAAAAATTATACATAGTACACACACATATATTATGTAAACACAAACTTTGATTTTGGATGCGATTAATCGTGATTAATCGTTTGACAGCCCTAATATATATATATATATATGAACATACATACATACTTAATATATATGATGATAATAGCCTACCAAGGCTGCGTTTATTTGATCAAAAATACAGTAAAAAAAAAGTTAAATATTATTACAGTTTAAAAAGCTGTTTTCTACGTGAATACAAAAGTTTTGGATCTGTAAGATTTTTTAATGTTGTTAAAAGGAGTCTCTTCTGCTCACCAATGCTGCATTTATTTGATTAAAAATATATACAGGTGAAACTCGAAAAATTAGAATATCGTGCAAAAGTTTGATTATGAGCGTACAGTTTATTAAAAACTTTTCACAATAATCTAATTTTGACTTTGGGGTTTTCATATCTGTAAGCCATAATCATCAAAATTATAACAAATAAAGGCTTGAAATATCTCACTTTTCATGTAATGAGTCTATATAATATATTAGTTTCACCTTTTAAGTTGAATTACTGAAATAAATTAACTTTTGCACTATATTCAAATTTTTCGAGTTTCACCTGTATATATAAAGTAATATTATGACAGTGTAAATCAGCTGTTTTCTATTTTAATATATAGTAAAGTGTAATTTATTCCTGTGATCAAAGCTGAATGTTCAGCATCATTACTCCAGTGTTCAGTGTCACATGATCCTTCAGAAATATGATGATCTAATATGATGATTTGATGTTCAAGACACATTTATGGCAGTGATACATTTTAATTCAGAATTCTTTGAAATAGAATCTTTAGTAACATTATTAATTTCTTTACTGCCACTTTTGTTCAATTTTTAATGCATCCCTTGCTGATTAAAAGTATGAATTTCCTTAAATAAAATCCTACTAACCGCAAACTTTGGAACAAAAGAGTATATAATTACATTTACTACAGAATAGATCTAGAGATTAATTGCAGTTATTTTAATCTCTTGACCGGATTAGTTAATATATAATCCTACTGTATAAAGTCTGAGCAGAATGTGTATTAGTGCATTTACATGTACAGTAAAATGCTGATTTCTATTGTAAATCTGCTCATATACTGTCGAGGTATGAGTGTAAGATGACTGAATGCTACTCTGGGAATTTACATGCGAAATGAAAGCGAGGTAATGCACACAAATCTGTCCGTTCAGATTAAACTGTTTTTACCAATAATCGGTGTGAGACTGTGCATGTAAAGCACTTGAGTTTAATGTGTTCACTGCATGTCGTCCTGCACGTGTCTGTCTGCATCTCACAGTTGTGTTTGTCTGCAGCATTTTCAGTGTGTGTGTGTGTGTGTCTCTCCTTCAGCCCCGACATGAGTACTTTAACGTGCCCGTGTACTGATTGGCTGCTGCATGCCGAGCCACTCCCCCTGCACGCCTGACTCCGCCTCTGTCTCAGCACCGTCCAATCAGAGAGCTGCATCTTGGACCCGGTTTCACCTGCAGATATAGTGGATTTTGTCAGATAGTGTCAAATGTTTCATTGTGTGTTTTACTTTATGCTGGTCCTTCATCTGAATTGATTTTATTCCTGTATTCTTCAGGCGACACTCGTTCATGTAGCTTTAGGAAATCAAAACTCCGTCCAGCTTAAAAACCTGAATAACTCTCACCGGTTCTTCACTCGTACAAATGGACATTATTTAAAATACAGTGACAAATTCATGAGAGTACATCTGTGTAATCATACGGACTTTTCAGTCTTTGTTTCAGAGCAAAAATGCCATTCTTAATTGTTGTCTTCATCTTGTTTTACTATTGAAAACAAAAGTGAATGACATAGACTTAAGATAGAGTAGTAGAAAACGGGTTAGTAATATTTAATGCTGTTTTGATTCCCACGTAAGGATATTTTAAGATGTTTTAGGAAAATAATTTTTGCTTTAATGATTTCTACACTGCAAAAAATAATGTTCTTCCTCAGTATTTTTGACTTGTTTTCCATTTTCCAGCACAAATATCTAAACGTTCTTAAGTCAAGATGCATTTACTCGAGAAGCAAAATTACTTATGCTTATTACTTACGAGTTTATGCTTAACACAAGAAAAAAAAATCTTTTACATTACATTAATTATATTATATTGGGATGCACCGTAGGGGTGGGCGGTATGACCAAAATTCTATTTCACGGTATGACTAATTTTATTTCACGGTAACGATATATTTCACGATATAGTTATTTATATACGTAGCTATTCTCGAAAAATCGACAAAAAGGGCTTTGTATAATAAATAAACCCAAATACTTTAGAAATGAAAAGTACTTCACATAGTTTTCTTTTTCTCTTATTTGGTAAATTATTTCTTTGGTAAACTATTTTGATTGCTAAATATAAACAAAACACACTCATCAACTTTTAGATGAACTGCCCCCAACTGATTGATATTAAATACAACTCATAGGTGCAATTAAACTTTAAATAAAGTGTTGCTGAATAATTTTTCAATCTCATATGCTTTACTTCATCAATCAGTTTATAATATCTGAATATTTTATATTGAACTATTCTATTCATAATAAATTAGTTACTTCCTTTTAATTTTCTAGTATAGTAATACTAGTTACGGTATGTTTAAATGTGTTCCCCGGTACATTTTTGCCCTGTCTGCTTATACACTGCGTTTTTAAGGGGCTTGTTTTGCTCTTTTTGTGATATCTGGCAACCCGTCACCTGCAGCTTTAATCAAGAGAAGTTCAAGTTCAGAAGTGACTAGCAGGAGAGCAGCATGAAAACCGAACAGCAGCTACTGTTAATGGTGACTAAGTAGCCTAGTTTAAATTATACACACCTTGTAACTGTGTGTTTTTTTTTTTTTTTTTCATAGCCCGGTGAACACTGACTCCCTCTCAGTGCGTGTGCACGCGCGCGTCTTTTACATCAGTAAAATGCGATCGGTAAATTTGAGTGTCTGTCAAGTTGTAATCAGTATCGAATCAAAGGAAGCTTTTATCAGCTGGTTCAGTGGCCAATTGTTTGGAGTTAGAAATATATAACTCGCGCTGCATATTTATTAATTTTGCCTCAGATACAGGATAATACATTCGCTTTAACAAGCAGCTTACCACGGCAAACTGTTTGCGTGTCATGCTGCGATTTTCGTGTTTAAAACTATACATAAGAGACGGAAAGATGCCGATAACATTATTTAAGGTTATTTCTATTCGTTACGATATTGATATATGAACTGTCATTGTCAATTAATGTTTTCCCGGTTGCGAGCGCGCTCTAAACTGTAGTGTGCTGCACTGCTCTAATTAACTGCTGCGCCTTTCCCCCCGAAAATATCACGTTAACAACAACAACCCTTTAGTAAACGTAATTCCTTTGTGGATGCTCTTGATCTGCTTTCTCCATGTTTCTTTGACAATTCTCAGTGTTTCAGTCTCACGCACGCTGCACCCGAGTTAACCACGCCCACTTATTTGCATGTCGCGGTATACAAAAAAATCTGTTACGGTTGACATTTTCTACCGCGTCATACCGCCCAACCCTAATGCACCGATATGGAAATTTTGGCTGATACCGTTAACCGATAATTCTTTATATTTGAAAGGCGATAACCGATATATCGGCCGATAAATCTAAATCCAAATCCAAGTTTTTATATAATTTTTCAGAGCCTGATTACAAAAAAAGTCTCACCATTAAAATCCATATCCTAAACACACAATCATAATGTTGTCATGATAATCTGATGTAGCCGATATGACAGACTTGTTGCATTTTACTGTATTTTTTTTTTTTTTTTTTAAGTGATTCAAATCATATTTCAATCAATTTAAACACAATGTTGAACAGTGTGTATCTGAAGTGTCTCAGCTGATGGAAATAATACAATATTTATTGGCTTTAATATATCGGCCAAATTTTCTTATCAGGCCGATAACGATAACATTAAAAATAAACATATATCGGATGATACCGATATGGTGGCCGATATATGGTGCATTCCTTATTATATTATATTCTATTCTATTCTATTATATTGTAAATCCCTTTAAATATATTTTTCTGACCACACTGACCTTTTTATGTCAAGCATAAACCTACTTAATTTTGATTATTAATGCTGATGGAAAAACATCTTTTTTTTTGCAGTGTTCAGTTTGTTTTAGGCAAAGCAATCCTCAGAATAACAGCTGTAAGTTTACGATTGGTAAATGTTGTAATTTATAAATTGTGAGTTTGTATGTGCGTTGGCAACTTTAGTTTTTTTCGTGATTTATTTAGTAAAACCCCTAGTGAAAAATAAATATACTAAAATGTATTAAAATACATTTTTTTAATGCTAAGTAAGTATACTACAAATACATTTACATATTTATGTACTTAATGTAAATATCCTGTAATTGTACTTTTAGTATACTAAATTAATATGCTTAAAGTCTGCTAAATTGGAACAACTAATTTTGTACGTAAGTCACTTTAGTTATCCAGAAATAGTGCTGAAGTTCAACTAAATATATATATTTAAGTGTGTTTGTGCTAAAGTGGAACTATTGCAAGTATACTTTAGGAACACTTTAAATATCTTACATTTAAAGATGTTATACAGAGATCATACTATCCTCAATAATACTGATATTAAACACATTTTAGGCTTAATATTAAGAAATGTACATTGTGCAATAAATAAGTACTCCTCGTAAAAGTTGAATTATAATATTTATATCAGTAAGTCTCAAGCGATATGCCAGTAAATATGTATATGTATTTGTTGTACACTATTTTAAATACATTTTGGTATAGTCATTTATGTTATATCAAATTATCAGTTATTTTTAATGTGTCCACTCACTCACTCTCACTCACTCACTCACTCACTCTCACTCTCACTCACGCTTATATAACATATAGAAATGTTTGAATGTCTGCATTAAATAATAAATATGAAAACAAGTGTAATTTTTTAACCCTGTAAAGTCTAACATGAAATGGTCAGAAAAGTCTAATATTTTGGAACAGTTTATTGAAGTTTTAAGCAAAATGTTGTTGTTTTTTAAATCTGAAAGGAACAGTTTTTGTTTTATTTTGAGTATCATATTTGATACATCAGGCTTTTATGGCTCATACATTCTGTAATAGTGAGAAATATGGAGAAAAACCCCCCAAAAATATGCAATTTGGTGCAGATGCTGATATTTATATGTATTCAAAAATGATAAAGAGAAGTTCTGCGATAAGTTTGACTGAAGCGCTGTATTTCTGCTGTCGTTATACACGTTTTACACCTACAAACACTTCTGCACTGCAGTGTTCGATACAATCTATGAATGTTTAATTGAATAGTTATAGCGTTAGATCTGTAAACACATTCATGTTTGGAGGTACAGTTTGTTTCACAATGAGTGTTTTGAATCGCTGAGAATATGAGTGGATGTAAATTCATGTAACGCCGTAGAAATAAACAAATGAAATGTGAGAATTTCAAGAAGTGTGTGATTGTGTTTATAGCTTAGGTGTGGATTGTAGAGCACATGAAACCTGTCCAGATGATATTTCACACGAAAAATAGAAAGTATATTTTGCATAGCCTATTTTAGGATTTAAATATCTTTTCATTGTGCATTGCATGTTTTTTTTTATGACAATTAACACATTCAGCACCCAAATGTTCTTTATTGCACACACACACACACACACAACAGAATCTTAATGCCATTTTCTTTTATGCTCAATGCATATGGGATAAACCTGATACTGATATAGAAAACTTGATATTCAATATTAATTGATATTAGTGTAATATGAAAAAGTTTATCATTACATTATGATCTTTCATTTATGCTATATATATATATATACAGGTGAAACTCGAAAAATTAGAATATGGTGCAAAAGTTCATTTATTTCAGTAATTCAACTTAAAAGGTGAAACTAATATATTATATAGACTCATTACATGCAAATTGAGATATTTCAAGCCTTTATTTGTTATAATTGTGATGATTATGCATTATAGCTATGAAAACCTTTTCATACTATTCTAATTTTGACTTTGGGGTTTTCATAAGCTGTGAGCCATAATCATCAAAATTATAACAAATAAAGGCTTGAAATATCTCACTTTGCATGTAATGAGTCTATATAATATATTAGTTTCACCTTTTAAGTTGAATTACTGAAATAAATGAACTTTTGCACCATATTCTAATTTTTCGAGTTTCATATATATTTCCTTTTGATATTGGGATGAAATATGACCTGGACATGATTTGTTTCGCAACTGTAATAATGTATATCTTGATTTGACACAGAACAAATGAAAGTTTGTTAAAATGATGTGTAAGGGTCCGTTTACACGACCGGTTTCAACTAAAAATTTAAATATTTTTATGCGTTTTGGCCGTTCATTCACACGACAACAGCGTTTGGTGGGCCTGGAATACAAACTTTTGAAAACGGGATTCAAAGTGCAAGTTTTTGAAGATGATACAGTTAATGAATGAATTTGTGAAACAGTGACATCATGTATGCAGTGTTGGGGTTACAGGTAGGCCTAGTTCGAGTCACGTAATCGGATAACTGTTTTCCAAGTAA